AGAGCTCTAGCGTATTGCAAAATGTACGCACACACGCGCGAGAGAGTTCGTCATCGCGCCGCGCCGCGGTCGCGTAGCAGCTGTCGCTCGATTGTCTTCTTCCGGCACGCGCCGAGACACGCGGCGACCCGGATGCAGCCGAAGGGATCCCGTCGAGAACGACGGCGATTTATTTCAGAGAGAGGATGAGTATTGCAAAACTGATCGTTTCAAGACTCGGCGAAAATCTCGCATGCCGTCGAAAGCTAAGCGAAATAAAGACATAGATCCCCTTCTCCGACAGATCCAGATATATCTTGATGATAGATATTATGAAAATTTAATAGCCGAATGACACATGCGGAGCGTGAGTCACTTCGTCCATTACTCGCGATAACCGATGCGGTATACGTATATACGGTATGCGAAATATCTCTTCTGCTCCATAACTCAAGCCCGTAAAGCCGCGACGTGTATTTCGAATACCGCGGGGTCCAGGTGCGAAAGTGAAGTCCCCGTGCTCCTATATATTTCCGATGCGCGCCGCAATAAAGCCGTTTTCGCCGTATCAGTCGACCGAAATTTAAACCCCATCGCATATATATTATACGATCATATAACGAGGATATATCGAGAGTCCCGCGATGATTCTCGCGGTCGAATCGTATTTTTTTTTTTCGCGTACTTTGTACTTATTCGGAGCTTCCTTAAACCGCTTGCGAGGACGACCGCAATTTAAATGACTTGTTTTTAAAGCAACACCGTATAACGTGTAAGTGTGACGACATCGTTTACATCGATATCCCTGACAATATCATACGATATCAGTTTTGAGTTTTCATCACTGCGTTATTCAAAAGTGATTACAGATTTATCTCTCGCCAACAATTGAATTTATTATTCACTCATACGCCTCGCCGAACTATAAGATATATCGTATATCATCGCGACAGAGGAAAAATTATCCACTTTATTTGGACACACGTAAAACCTAACCGATGTGTAAGAACATTAATCGACGTCGTATATCGAAGTCTCTATCGATGATAACGGATCGAACGGCTGGCACCCTGTGGAAGCGCTGTCAAGTTCGATGGGTATGAAATCGCTCTGAAATAGGTCGGAGCCGGTTGTGTCAGACCCTCGCAGAGTTATAGACGTCTGAAAGATGTTGCAATCGATATGCCGTGATCGAAATTATCGATCGTGTATGCGGCATCACGAATTGATGAAAATGATCGATAGATTTTGTACCTTTTCATTAGTTTTTCTTATTTTTTTTTTCCAAAAATATACCTCACGAGTATATTATGATTGTATTTCGCTGAATTATGAAAGGATTGTTTGAATAAAAAAAAAATATATACATTTAAAATTTATACACGGAGAGGTTTTTCTCTTATAAAAATAATAAAACATATTAATATGTACATAGTGAATTTTACTTTTATGTACATACAGTGAATTTTATATTAATATTTTTTATCGTGGTATAAATATTGGAAGAATTTTATAAGAGGTTTTCTGAATATCTACAATAAGATATAAAATATGTTCGATTAATTTTACTATGTACATGGTAAAATTTTATTAATTAGAGAAATTCTTCCAATATATTGTACATATATAAAGAAAAAAAGTATCAAGTTCTTGGTTTGTGAATTTTATTTCTATATCTTCCGAGAATGCATCTGTCAGAATATTTTTATTCGAATACTTTTACATATATGTTAAAGAAAGCAATGGTGTCGCGGACGGCGTTATATATGTATAAAATCGATATAACATATACTCGAAGATAAAGCGACGATAGCGAGAATCGCATTGTAAATGGAGAAGCGCCGACGGCCCTTATTTCACACGTATACCCCTATGTAGTAAGATTACCTAGTTGTAACTCGTTTCTCTCTCGAGGCACAAATCACACCGGGTCTTAGCCAGCCGCGTCGCGAAACTTTCAGACATTTTCCGACTCGCCGCGCGAAAGGGAACATCATCGATCGATCACACCTCGCACACAAGCGAACCTTCATCCATATTTATTTTTAGCGAGCGTACTAAGAGCTCCGCCGACGCGGAGCGATAGCATCTCCCATTAATAATACATCGAGACAATAAATTTTAGAATTGTAAAAGCCATTCCCTCTCTCGAAGAGAGAAAATGCTTTGTTGCTGCGAGCTTTCCGAATGGACTAGCAGTAGTCATATCGTCGGTTTGTTTTCGCGATAGTATATCTATTTATTTACGAGATATCAAATGTATTTAAATTAGAGAAACATCGACATATGTGCGTTATGCATTCGTAATTTCAATTGAAAATGACACGAGCGTTCAATAGATTAATTTACGAAATGTCGATAGACGCGATATATAACATACATATATTGAACATTTTTTATCTTTTTAAGCCATCGGCTTCTGCGCTAAATATTGCAATATTATATTTCGTTTACATTGGCTGCTCCTCTTTGCACACCTGTTGCTTATTACACATTGCACAGTTTTAATTGTTTAAAGTTTCATGATTTTAAGTTCTCTTATATAATAAACCAGTGTTACAATTTGTTGCATAATACACGTATATATTAACTCGATGAGCTTGAATGAATGAGAAATTTGCGTCTTGAGAATTCCTGTCAAACTATTCGCGAATATATATAGAAAAAGCAATGTAGAGTAATCTAAAGCGATTGAGCAATGCATTTTTTTTTGGAAGGAAATTGATCGACAGAAGAACGATGCACCAAAATATATTGTTCCTAAACGCTGTTAAGGAGTGATACAATGGACGTAGATATCGTCACTGACGTGACTTCCTGTCGTGACTCACACAGCTAGCTGCTTTTTGATCTACATTAGCTGATTCTGCTCCGCTTCTATGATCATTCAAGAATAATCCCTCTAATCGCGATTACGTCGGTATAAGCAACAACGGATATTAAATGCAGTATAACGTCTTTAAATTCCGAGATTGTTATTTACCGCGCTATTTTTAATTGGTAATTAACTGCAAAATTACACTAGTAACTTGATTAACAAAATGAAAGAATCTGCCCGTGTTACGACTTTATTGCGAAAAAAATTCAAGATAATCCGTGCTATTACGTACGTAAATACCCATAAAACGAGAAAGTATAATTTCTTCACTAATTACTACAATTTGTCTGTTTATCGGGTTTATTGCTTAATATTAAACTTTGATAATTTTAAAAGACAAAACAAGGAAAAAAATGAAAAAATGTCATACTAAGCGGTAAATAATACCTGCATGTTATTCGACGCTTCTACGTTTTTACGTATTAACGTCGAGAATTAAATTTTCCTTTGATAAGAACGAGTGCGCGGAAAGGACGTAATTATGTTAAATTTGCCGCAATTATACGTAAATGAGAAATGCCTGCTGCTGCTCCGGTTATTAAATCGCGTTACACCACCGCGTTGGTTATAGTGGAAGATGGAAAGTGAAGGGGGTAGAGACCGTGCAAATTAAAGGAAAGTATAGAGATACACATCATTACATATACGCCATACCATGAATATCGCGCCCGTAATTAACAATTCCTTTCACGGTTGCGAAAATTTTGCGAGATCTCCGCGATAACTCCCGCGCATGAATTTTCACTGTCGCGCTCCACCTTTGATGTACGCGTCACTGCGGTGTGTGGCCACACGTATTATTACCGCTGCTTAAAATACACGAGATTGTGTGTATACGCATGTCATGCCGTAATTTCCTCGGCCACTTTCTTTCCGCGATCCGCGCGCGCGTAGCACGTAATAATTACTGCCGCGATGATGCTGGTAATAAGCCGCGTATTATGATTACAATTACGAGGAACAATGAAAAAAAAAATAATGCGTGCGTTGGTGGAAAAGTCGGCGAATTTTTGCATTTATTATACTTTGCGGTCGCGGACATATCGATGACATTCGAATAAATTAACAAAACTTATTATCGTTGAAATTGGGAAATTACAAGTTCGCTTTTATAATCATTTTCCAGCGACGAATATTCATATATTTGTCGTAAAGTCATAAAGTATCAATATTGCTCTACTATCGGCAAATAACAGTCGTATTAAAAAATAACTAAAATATTGAAATATTCGGAGCAAGAGAAAATTGTTATACGTTTTAATATCGATATCGGAATATCGATAGCTATATTTACATCGAGATACATCTATATATCAGCAACGGTATTTTATATTTTGTATATCATCCACTTATCTATAATAGAGTTTTTCCTTAGTTTATATGTATGTGTGTATGTGGGATAGTTGTGGTATTTCAAAATACGTGCAGTAGCGTATAGTGTTTCAATATTTTAGATATTTGGTTCATAAAATTTCTATTTATTTATAATTCCTCGTTTATTCCAACTTAATTATACAGAGATAATTTTCTCTTAAAATTCACCCTGAAAATTATGGTAATCGTGAGACAATATGATAAAAAATTTTATGTCTTTTTCTGATTAATATTTACCTCAATAAAAAATATTAGTATGAGTTATATGTAGTAAAATTAATCAAACATATTTTATATCTTATTGTGGTAGATATTAATATTTTTTATTGATGTGATAAATATTAATCAGAGAAACTCTCATAAAATTCTTCCAATAACATATTGTCCTGCGACAAAAAATTTCGGGATAAATTTCAAGAGAAAATTTTCTCCGTATAAGAATCACGTTACACAAATTTTCTTCAAAGAAAATTCAATAATTTTGTCATCCCGTACCAATAAGGTATACCGAGACCTATTATAATAGGTATTATTTTTCTTTAATACCCACACACAAACCGCACCATCGCCATCCATCGGTAGTGTTTTTCTCCTCACGATGCCCACTCCGAGGCCCCTACTCCGATCGCCTTTGGCTGTCCCATGTAGCGAGCCAGTCTCTCCCGCGCCTTTCTTCGCGCGGCTGCAGTCCGCGTGTCAGTTCGAAAGCAACCGCGGACAATACCTGACAACTGGTTAGCCGGTCTTGCCGATCTCGCGGTACATATATATATATAATACATACCTCGGACGACGTTTCTTTGCGAGAAATTCATTGTCCGTGGAACGCGCGATCGAGATGTAACACGCGCGCGTGTGCTATAGTGATGATCCGATGATGATCCGGTGATTATCCGATGATGATCCAACCGAAATGATCGGAGGCACGATCTTTCGTATATATCGACAGTGATCGGTAATTGTGTGGACGCGTGACGGACTGTGATCGTTTCTAATTATTTGTCAATAATAATAATTATTTGTTGCGTCACATGTTACGCGATATACGATTGATGGGAGATTCGCCGAGAGCGACGAATCCTTGCTCGACGAGCAATCTTATCGGTCGTTGAATTCTCCTGGGCCTTAACTTATCTCAAGGTTTCTTCGAACTTTCAAAACGATAGAGATAATAGTAGAAAATTGATAGTGAAGGTAGAAATAGTAGTATAATACTTGTTTCTCTTATACGTCGTTTTTAGTATATTATTTATTATATTATTGGTTAAAAAGTGCGCACTTTTAAAATGACGAGAAACAAATTTTGAATCAATTGTTAAATAAAATAAATGCGATACATGCAACAGCAATTGTAATATAAATTTGATACTTAATGGCGTTGAAGTGATCGAAAAACATGCATTTCGCCGGCGGAACGAGGCTTTCGATCGCGATCGATCTCTGGAAAAACGAGCGGTCGATATCGCGCGGGAACGCAATATAGGAGCGGAAGCGTTGAAAAACGAGAATGAATATCCGGTTGATAAACGCGTATCACGAGCGCCTGTATAAAGTCATAGAAATATGTGTTAACGCGTATACGTGTGCGTTTGTAGCATATGCTATCAGGACCTGCATTTATTCGTACTCCGTTCGATTATCCTATATAGCGAAACGATAGCACGAGGGGCAATTCAGTAACGATTTATTGTCGTCAGTCTCGCTTAAATGTGATTCGCGGTTTCGGTGACGTGTCGTTCGTCTGATGTGTATCATGCGAGGCTCAAATTTATACTGATTCAGTGCTTATGAAATTACAAATTTATAATTCTAGCTTGAGTATTAATTTCGGCATTGAATGCATTCTTATACTTTTATGATTAAAATAAATATTGCTTTTTTATGTAAAATATTTATTGAAGAATTTTAGAAATTTGCTGTTAAAAATTTCTGTGGAATATTTAAAAAAATCTAAAAATAAAATATGCAAAGCTTCCAAATATAACAACGCAACTGTCGTGTCATATGTTTACGCCATATGATAATTAATCCGAAGGAACGGCTCATTTGTGTCTCGTATGATTACGTGGGACACGCCTGTACAGTCGAGTAAACAACACTTATTCTAATGTATCGTGGACATTTATTTTCCGTTATCACCTTGACTAATGTATCTTTTGGTAGCTCTCTCTCTCTCTCTCTCACGAGATGAGACCGTTTATTTTCCACTCGCGTACGCAGATATATTCGCATGAGAGATTTGCGACTGGCAAAAATTGCTGTGTCGTGCGTCGTGCTTTATTATAAACCCTAAAACGTTTTCCAACCGAGAAATAATAAATTCTCAACAAGAGGAAGCGTGATCGAAATTCAAGAAGTGCGCGTTCTCGTTGAAAGGATTTATTTTCTCTCTTCTCGTCAATTATAGAAATTCACACGAAATTTTCAATTCAGAGAATCTGTTTTAAAGAGCACGGATGCAATTTATCCGCCGACCAGGACGTTCGTGCGGCTAAGTAAGGTAGTGTGTTTTCGGGCACGGTAGGTTAATTCTCTCTCTCTCTACGGCGATGGCTGAGTTATGTAGAGCATAAAACGACCGATTCGCCTCGTCCACGCCGAGGGCCGAGGAGAAGAAGGAAAAAGAGAGGAGTGAGACAGAGAGAGGCTGCTCGAAATAATTATCCCTTCTCGGGAGGTGGGCACGATTCTCTTCGCGACTCTCCGTTGTCGAGGATAATTCCCGAGGAAAGCCCCGCGATGTCGACAGATATCTGAAAGTTAACTATCGCGGAACTCGCGGTGAAAATTATCCGGATTTATAGAATTTTATTAGAGAAATGCTTTCCCCGAAAAAAGCTTGGTCAAAACTCATTCGCCATTCATCGCGAAGCAATTTTTGTGTATAAGCATTCAGGAAGAAGGAGAGTTCAGTTCAAAATTATCCAGCCTCAAACTTTCGAATATCAAATCGATTCTCCTCGCATTTCTCTCATTCGGATTTAAATTTTTCTTTTTTTTCTTCCCTCCTAAAAATGCTTCACGCTTGCCACGTGCCTCCTTTCTATAAGAGGCGAACTTTCGAAAGGACGGCGCTTTGTTTCGCGTTGCAACGTAAAAACGTGAGAAGCTGATATAGCAGCCTCGGATATTCGGCCGCGAAAGTTTTCATTACAAAGGGAACACGAGGATCGTCCCCGAGGGAGGGTCGTGTCCCGTGGAAGTGAGTGAAAGTGGCCATTACTTAACTCCCATGCCTCGGAAAAGCCGTTTCCTTCGCCGCCAATTAACCGGAAAACATCCGGTGGTGTGTTGCATCCCATTGTCTCGCTTTGTTCGAGCTAACTACCGATAATGGCGGAATTTCCTAATCGCATCCTTGGCAAAGTCGGGGAAACTGTATATTTTTGACGAAGCGTTCATTGCTTTCAATTCGCGGATGCGAATAACGATTCTCACGAGGTTCTTTTGTGAAACACACTCCCCGATGATTGCGCATGAGGAGCGTTGGATCGCGCATAAATTTTCTAAGAAATTAAACGATCGACGCGCGCGCGTTTAATTGATCCGTTCGATGTTTCTCTCGGGAATCGGAGAAACAGGTTCCAACTCGTTGACCGGGTCTGCCCGTTTCTAATTAAAATACGTACATTCTAGGTCGCGCGCCAAAAATTTTTTCCCAACGTGGGCGAAACAAATTTCCATCTTGTCCGATATCGGAACAAGTTACGGTGAAAAAAAATCAGGGACTTTAATCGTTTCGCCGGTCGTTGGCACTTCCTGGCGTTTTGCGCAACGGGTGCTTTTCTCGCGTTAAAAATCGACCGACCACCTGTCGTTAATTTCTATTAACCGTTCGAGCTCTTACAGGTGTCGTACATCATTCATATATCTCGTACATACATTATTACATTTTCGATCACTCGTTATACCGGTTATATCGGTAACTCCTATTTAGCAATCATATCTAATAACTTTTACCCGCGTTACGGATGAAAAAAAAAAATGTAGCTTATAATGTCGATGTATGGGGAAAGAAACGTCACGCTGCATTTGTTCGCGGAATCTCGCGTAGAAAAAAAAAACGCAGTCGCGTTTTCATCGAGTACGAGGAGAAACGAGTTTCGTCGAGGTGATCGCGTTATCGCGTATCCGTCGCACATGGGATGGCCGATTATCCGCGCTGGCTCGCTCACTTTCACTGGCCCCCCCGTCCAGAAAGAGAAAAGCGATCGAAGAGTGCACGGCCGAGGTGTTATATAAATTAGATGTTTCGCGAATTTTTTTTTCAGCGCGCCGACGCGCATCGGGATATTGATTTATCGCGATAACACGTTGCAATTTCGATCGGACGTGAAAATTAATGTAAGCGAAACTTTATTTACACAAGTTAAACATTCTGCTATCTGAAACTTACGATCTGGTTTGCATTTATTCAAAAATTACATAATTTTTATTTTCGAATTTTTTCGAGTCTCGCGTGACGTGTCGAAATTTTCGCACGTATAAATGTTCCACTTAATGCATATATACATAATGAGGTCGCGTGCCAAGACGCCTTTCTAAAGACGTGTCTTACTATGACATCTCTACTAAAGACAGTTACTCCCACGCAAGTTGAATGCGCCGGAATTGCCGGTCTGTCGTTCGTCGATCGCGATTGTGTATCTCCTGGCAATGCGAGAGATCCGCGGAAGTTCTCTCAATATCTGCGGGCAATATCTGCTTGCGTAACTTTTATACCGGTAGCCTGGCATAACGGTATCCAATCGTCGGCTCTCCTAGAGCGCGGTAGCCGCGGTTAGAATTAACGTTTCTTCTTTGCGCGCGTATACGCACGCTTGGTCGGTTTTCAGCCGCAGTCGTACGCACGTATACTGCTGGAACCTAGATGCTTTTCAAATCTCTGTACGTACGTGCATGTGTGCGAACGGGAAAACTCCGCTTTCCCTACGATCGTGAGACCACAATGCTAGCGTTCATCGATGAGCAAATTTTATTTGGTTGCGTTCTGGCTCTTGTATACTATGGCCATGTGTCGCGAACGTGGCGCTATAAATTAAAAATTTTGAAAAGAAACAATGATGAATCATCGAGATTAGGCTGCAAAAACAGACTGAAATTTTTTTTACAAGACACAATGACTTTGATATTTCTTTAATTTATAGTTTGCAAGCAAAAAATACAAAAGAGAGAATAAATTTTTCTTCAATTTATTTCATCAGGAAATCACATTTTTAAAAAAGTGAAAAAAAGTGTTCTTACGTGTGCCACTTTGTACGTAATTGGCATAATTATCATTTTCGTTGCAACATCATTGATGCCTCGAGCGCTCAAAGTTCGTTACATTTCCTGATACTTCCACGCCCGACTTTCCTCTTTCCTTCGAGTCGAACTAGATTTCCAACGTGGAAAAAAAACCGTGCATGCAAAGCCGATGCAATCCTAAGTAGGCAAGATAATATTATGCATACCCGCATATTATTATAAACCGCAAAAAAGTCGCAAAAAAAAAGAAATATCGGTTACTGACTTTCGCTCCGGTCAACGCACCAATCAAAAATACTCGTTCCTTTTATATTCCGTACACTTACATTTCATCTAACTGTAATTTGCATTTCCTGCTCTATCCAATCTTGAAGTAGCATCTTTCAAGTCAACTTTCGAGTCGACCATCTCATCGCATATTAGAATTAAATTATCATACTTAACTCTATTCCTTAATCGTTCAATTTCTGATGTAGCTTTATAACATCAAGTTCACCAATATAACTTTAATATCAAAAATTTTATTGAAATATACATGTGAAATTATCATAAAAAAATTCTATGATAATAATATTTCTTGTACATAAAAAAACAACATTATACTTCCGTGATTGATTAACGAAGCGTCGGTTTAGGCTAATTAAACACTTGTTATCCGACTAATAAGACGTTTATTGGGGAAAGTTAGCGTCAAACTTTACGGCAGATATAACGCGAGACTTAGAGCTCTCTCCGTAACATCGATCTTCGTTTATTGACGTCAATCGCCTGTGCAAGAAGCGTGCAGAGTACTGTAGAGCCTTTTTCGCGGCGAGAGCCCTTTTCCGGCATCGGCAACGCGCGCCGTAAAAAGAGGCGATCGTGACAGAGGGCCGTCGATCTCACGACACGCGGGTCCCCATAAAGGCGCGTATCCGCCTACGCGTCACGATTAACAATTAACGACGGTATAACGAATGACTCGTCGCCTCCTCGGTGGAAGAAAAAAAAAAATACGCCGCGTCCATCGTCGTCGTCATTTGCGCACGTGCAAGCACAGCCGGGAGAGTCCCAATTATTCCGGAATAACGGACTACCTTAGGCATGTGTGTTCGCGATCAACGCGCACGTGTTTGTGCGTGTCATGTGTGCGGGATGGCACGCGTGTGCATTTCGAAAAATCGCCGTGCCTGTTAGATTCCGACGCTCGGTTATCGTCTAACGGTGATTGACCCTCCATATACCGGATACGTAATTGCGCACTTTAGTATCTTGGCTATACCGAGTGTCGCGCGGACGTGTATCTCGAGCCCCTTTTAAGAAAATGAATTCTTAAATTGAGACAAAAAATCTATTATATATAGTCGAGAGATTCTCCGAGTCTGGAATACCTCGTATATACACGACACTTTACGAGCCTGTTGTTTTGGTAAAACTTGACGGCTGTATAATGTCCCTGAGAGTATATGCGAGTTGTATATACGAAAGAAACGTATGTATCAGATAATGCCGCAAAAATGCTATTCATTCTCGTTTGCAATCTGAGAAAAATAGCGACGCGAATGGTTCAATTAAAATCCCCCGTTTCTCCGCGCATCTTTTTCCTTTGTCTACCTGGCGCATATATTTTCCCACGTTTTCACTGGTCGCCTGGCTATAGGACAAAGGCCAGGTTTCAACGGTGACCGAAAACGAGAGTCTAGTTAGAAACGAGCTATGCATAGAAAACAATGCGCTATCGTCTTTCAAGCGATTTATCCTTTCCCGAAACATCAAAACCCTCCTCTTTCGTGCTCGTTGCATATGAAATGACGTTTACCACGCGTCGTACACAGAGAGAACATCTGTCATCTTTCTATAAGGACGATAATTATATATATAATATCGCAATTTGATATGACCGTCTATTTTGACAGGGCGATTGATCTTAAAATCGTTAAATTATCGAGAAGCGTGAAATCTTTTTCCAGAGCAAAATCGATGTTGAGGATCCTATAGGCGCTGGCTCTTAAACTTTCTAATTCTTCGAGGTTCGATAACCGCGGAATACTTGAAATAATGATAGAACTTAATAGTAAACGAATGCGCACACCCTGAACACGCGCGCATATATGCGGATCCATTTATGTAAGAGCAAAATCTGTTGTGAAACTCTTGTTGGCGCGGATGTGTGTTACGCGTGTTATAAGCGTGATTAAAAAAGCGTGAAAAAGAGTGAATGAACACTTTGGAGCGAGTTTCTCGACATTCCCGCGGTTATAAAGCGGAAAGGAGACGCGCGAGATCGCTCGCTTCCGGAGTATCGATGCGAGTTAATCACTCGCCTCGCCGCCAACCGTCTCTCTTGGCGATTTTAATGCCGCGGCATCGATAGCGCAGCGAACCCGATCTGATGGTGCACGCGCGGACTTTCCGGCGGAAGCTGCCGCCCTGAAAATTATTCGAGCGTGTCGGATCGCCCTCGCGTGATTGCGGGGAACGATAGTCACGAGATAGCCGTCTGTTTTCTCTCCTCGCGATCGATATATCGCCCGAGCGATCCATTTGCTTTCTTGGTCGAGATGTTGAGATCCTCGACGCGATCTTTCGTTTTTTCCTCTCTCTCTCTCTCTTCTTTCTTCTCGCGGCGCCGAGAGATCCGAAGGATTATGAAAGCGATCGTCAATATGAATATGAATAATGATTCCCGGAGAGAGAAAATTCGAGATTTTAAGATGCGATGTACCGATAAAGATGCAAGGGCGTGATATCGCCAAATCTCGGAGAAACTCGTTAATTTTTTTCACTATTTTTCTCGAGAAAAAAAAAAAAAATGCGCCGGTTCATTCTCAATAAAAATGCTCGAATCAGCAAAATGACATTCTCTTTGACCGAGAATTTCTCCCTCGCTAGTCTTGGTTGATCGATGCTATATTCTTGTTATCCTGGTCACGTGTCGTCGCGAGCCGAAATTTAGTCCGATCGCATCTCGACCAATCAATCTTAACTTCCTCCTGTACATATCGCGATGACCCGGATTATTATCGCGAGGTTTTTTATTTTTACAAGGGCAGCGCGTATTTGGCACTTGAACTTGTAACACTTTCGCGACATCGGCTAATCCGATTGAGAGAGAGAGAGAGAGAGAGAAACGCGAGCTTCGTCGTAATCCGCGTAATCCGGACCGAGTTACGGCGACGTGGATGCAACTTTATGGCACAATCCCGTCGCGTCGAAAACTTTTCGAGGCGAGAGTTTTACAACTTACCTCCTGTTTACAATCGAGCGAAACACGCTCTCGCCCGCCGGTACATTTCTTGCTGCGTCGTCGTCGTCGTCGTTCCGTTAAACGTCGTCGGTCGCGACGCTCGAACTCTCGAAAATGTCCGTGAAATCGATTTTATTCGCGAAGAGGAGGCACTCTCTTCTCTGAACGGCGCGCCGGAGCTTCTTCCTTCGCGGAAAAAGCGGTGACTCGGGACAATTTTGTTTTTCTCTCCTCTCCTTCTTCCTCCTGAGATGGATGCTCTTTTTTCACCGGTTATATTTTTGCCGAACTCTCCTCGGGGAGAGGTTTTTTTGCTGAATCGACCGTGTCCTTTACCGGCACTTTGTTCTGGCTCGCTAGCTTAGAGCTATATAACGAAGGACGACAGGACGCGATGGAACGCGCAAAATAGAAGAAAGGGATAACGGAACTGCAGACGAATGTCTGCCAATCACAAAGAAGCGAGCTTATATCTCGCAAAAATAGATTTACCCGTATATTAATACTATATTAATTTTCACAATTAAATCTACTAAAAAACCGTCACAAAATTCAATATAAATACCAACATAAATTTTATCAAGCATTCTCTTAAACTCTTTTTAATTGTAGACGAATCGGATGAAACTTTTCTATAAGAGACATCAGTATACAAAGATAGTGAAAATAAAATATCGAAAAACTGGAAAGCGATGGAATATAAATGTGTGTTTCGATGATGAGAAATGCGCGTGTTGTACCATCGCGAGTGAGAGTGCAGTACATTGACGTAGCTTCCATTCTCGAACGATCGGCGTCGGTGTCGTTTGAAGAAACGCGCTAAGAAGCATCAAGGACGAATCTCAGCGGCGTGCGAAAGATGCGAAACGGCGGGCAAACGGCGCAACAAACGGCGGTGATGACGCCGCCGCATCTGAACGGCTCGGCGCAGTTCATCTCGGGCGGCTACATGACGGCGAGATACCTGCCACGTCAATCCTGGACTCAATTCCAGCCCGCGCCGCAGCATCCGAGCAGGAGCGGCGGCAGACCTCTATCACTACCGCCGCCTCCGCCGCCTTCCAGACGGGATAACCAGAGGCTTAGCAACGGAGGTCCGGTTAATGCTAAAAACACATCTCTGCCGCATCACAGAGTAGCGACCCACCGGAGTACCACTCCCTCGGTGAGTTTAGCATTTACGGAAGTGTAAAAAAAAAGAGAGAGAAGTGATGTGTTTTTTGGTCTCGATCCTTGAATGGATCGAAACTTCAAGGTCAAGGACGTAAAAAAGTTGAATGTCAGTCAACGATTTAATTTAAGAAAAAAATCGAGACAAAAACATTTGGGTTTAAAAGCGCGGTTGATAGGTAAGGGATATAAAGAAGGTATTGAATTTGAAAAGAATTTTTTGGCATCGCAATTGGAGCAAACTTTTTTAAGAAACATGGAACGTCAACAAAAAGTCACTTTTGCTGTTGCTTTAGTGAGGACGCAACTCTATGTCCTCACTGGAGCAACAACAAATAACTTTTTTAAGAAACATTGAACATTAACAAAAAATTGCTCCAATATGAGAACATACATATAGCTTTATATAAAGCAGCTTTAGGGCTGAGAGAGCGATGGAAAACTATTCAGCTTTGAATCGTTATCTCTCTGTACTGGTAGTTACGTATAGTACTTTATCTGACGCATAAAGGGAGGAAGTGCATCGCGAAATCAGTAGCATTTCAGTGACAAGGCAGAACACACGAACGCCAACTCTTCTCCGAGGAAGAGAAAATAGAGAATTGGAGAGTTCTTGGAGCCGATCCAGAAAGTCGCGATTTTCAAGGAATTTCCTCGTTCGAAAGGACGAAGGATATCGATCTTGCGTTTTACTTGCGAGCGTACATCGCCGATTGAATGGAGATATGACTCGTACGATAAACGATCTAAGAAATTTCGACATCCGGCGGTCACACGAGTGCGTTCTCTCGAGGTTCAAGAAACGGAACCTCGCTTGATCGGGACGCTTTGAAGGATATAATCCCTCTGGCGATCGAGTCGGAAGGGATCTTGAGAACGTCCCTGAAGTACGATTCGGAGAATGGATTCAGAATCTTGACGCAACTCGCGCTGTTACGGATATCACCTTGGATATAAGGGATGAATCGAAGCACGATTTATACCGAGTACATATATATATATATATATATATATATATATGGCTTTGTATGTATGTATATATACAGGGTGTCCCAGAACTGGTGGAACAGTTTTTAATGTCAGATTCCTGGTCATCATTTGGAGACGGTTTTTCCTTAGTGAAAATGTTGAGGGAGGCCATTATTTTTAGCATATTCCCAATTTTTGTTATTATGTATCTTTGTAACTAATTGTAAGCCTTATATTAAAACTCTATTAAAGGAAACTCTACCTAAAATTAACTGAAGAATGTAGTTCTCTCTTAATATTTGATTTTCACAAGGCTTAGTTTCCAAAAAAGCTTTTATTTTCAACTACTTCGGAAATTATTGGCATCTCGACAAAAATCGTCTCCGAATGATACCAGGAATCTGCCATTACAAACTTTTCCGCCAGTTCTGGGACACCCTGTATATATATATTTGCTTGTATCCTGTACTTGAAGTTTATAGTCAATTGTGTCGCGCCAGACACACAACATAGATATTTTACGACTACGGATCATCTCGCTCGATGTCAAAGCATCCAAGCAGTTTGTATTTTATAAAAATCAAAAACTTGGAGATCAAAAGGTTCAATATTCTATATGACTTTTTTATGATCTAGATATTCAAATATTTTAATATTGAAAGTTTCTCGCAGAGATGTTTGTTAGGAAGTTTTAATAACAGAAGGCGCGAAAAAAGTTATATGAGAACTCGTGGAAAATTGACTATCGCTTTAATATTTCACCGAGATTTTGTAATTCAGTTTCTTAATTCAGCTGTTAAGTCGATAGGTAATAATTCAGGAAAAAAATGATAAATGATATATACTTAGAGAAAGAGAAAGGCGAGAGGTACGGAGAATCATGCATCATGAGTGTCTAGAAAAGCGCGCTGCGGAATACTTAACCCTTATATGGAATCTATAGAGATATATCCGCGTGCAAGAAACGTCGGAAATTACATATCACTTTGATTCGATATCAAGGAAATTGGACTTTTCATCTAAATCTCACGTTGAAATTGAAAATAAATTTTCTGGTTAATTAATCCTATAACATTCTCGCAATTTTTTTATATTAATCGTTTATCACGAAGAGATGAGAGAATTTATAATTTTTTGTTCGCGCGATATATCCCGCGTTAATTACTGGAAATTCATTTTCTGATTAATCAATCTCACATTCTCGCCGTTTTCTAGATATTCATTATTACGAAAATGGGAATTTATAATTCCATTTTAGAACGATATCGATCCTATGATGTATCTGTGACCGGAATTATCGATCAGTTTGTCGTCTTGTCATACTGACAGGCCAGTTTTGCAATTCAATTATAGCTTGAAATTGACTTGCCGATGAAAACTGATAGACAATAGAGAATGCCTAGAACGCGGTAACCTATTTGCAGGCTGTTGACGGTTGCTACGCGAATACACATATAGTATTATTCGCTGATTCTCATTCATGCATATTCCATGACATTGTGGAGAGAAAAAGGGCTATTGAGGGGGAGGATGAGGGAGGTGTGTAGTAAATATGCGTATCTGTCTGGCTACTAAAAATTCCCAACATTTTCGCACCTATGTATCTACATGAAAAATATTTGTTTACCGTCCGTTGTTTCGGCGCGCTCGATAAATGAATTTGGAAAAAAGAAAAATATTTTATTTCGTTGAAATCGTTCTCTTTTGTGTCGCTCTCGAATTATATTAAATCATGGTTATTGATTTTGCCTTAATAGTTTAATATAGCAATTGCACAAAAATGTATAGACATGAACGTAAACATTATCGCAGCAAAAGTATCCAGCTTCGAGATCCTCCAAGTTCTGGAGGAGGAGATTCTCGTGAAGGGTTTTGCAAACTGCGGGTAAAACTTTGAGACAAACACGAATTGTCTCGTACAAGGGAAATGCACGAGCAGACTCGCGAAGGTGGGATTCGAGAGACCAGTTTTGACCTTAAACGAGTTCTAACCCGAGAGTTTGAAATCGGAGCTACGTCGAGATACTAGAAAGTGGTCGAGGTGTCGCGTTTCGGTCTCCAACCTATCGAATGTTCCAGCTCTCTGGGGGTCGAAAAAAACTTGATCGGTTTGCGGTTGGGAGAAACATTCGAGGATGTGACAAGAAAAGCGTTTTAAACCGATTTTTATTGCAACCCTGTTATATAAATGGCAAGGTTCAGTGGAGGACGCATTCTATATTATTTAACAGCATCTAATTCCGAGGAATTTGACAACGAATAATCCGACTAATTAATTATAGAATGTTTTGTAAAGTATAGCAAAACTTTGAAGAGAAATGGCTTTTGAAATCAAGTAATTTCGTATTAATATTTCTTGTTTAATTTTTTCTCTTTCTCTCGTTATATTTTTATATCACGCGCAATAACTTTACATTCTACATTTGAATTTACGACGCGCGATAAATCCAAATTTTGCCTCCGCGACGCAAAATGCGGACGCGTGATGTCTCGCGTGCATTATTTCGAAACGTCCCATATTTTGACCGTTATCGGTCATAATAAAACAAAACGCGGACATAAAAAAACATCGGGAACGTTCCGATGCGGCATGGAAATATACCGGTGTAACAGGATTCTCGCGGACCGTAAGATCTCGCGCAGAGAGACTCTGCGCGCGTATGTGCATTTTTATTTTGTCTTTCTTTCTCTTTTTTCTCGCTCCTTCTCTCTTCTTTCGGCCGAGGCCAGTGCAAGGTCGACTCTCACCTTGCCTCATATTGCCTCACACGTGCGGACTCGCGTGCGTTTGAAAAGACCACGCGATCGGAACGAGACATCGCTCACTGTCGAATAATCGATTTCGTGTTTTCTTTACTGCCGTGTTGCATTATTATATACCTTCCAGACCCGAGATCATTAAATCGATCGACCACTCTTGTTAACTCGTCATGATACAAATATGCGTGGGACGTAAATAGCCATCCATTTTGCATGATATTTTGCAACGAGAAATTGCGTAATCATCAATGCCATTAAGAATTAATGAATCTAATCGCTATACGCTATTTAATAATTGATTATTAATTACACTGTAGAATACGTGTATTAATATTTTGCGACATTTAGTTAAAGCGAGACCCTCATCGTACTAATACGTCATGTTTTATGGGTAAAGTGGCAAAATTTAGGCCAAACTAGAGGCGTTTCGCTGATATTACCCTCATATACCATCATCTGTCGACTGTCAAAATAATTGCGGCTCATTCTAAATGCAAGTTCAAGCCAAAACTGTCCGTTCAGGGATACAAACGACGACATTTTACGGCGCCACTCTCGGTAATAACACGCGAGAACGAACCGAAATTCTCGATTAGGGAAGGAGCGAACAATTTATTCACGATACTTTTGCTATGCATGCAGGTTCATATTTCGCGATAAACATCCTCCGAAAGCCATCGTGTTTCGCGTGTTTACAACGTCTGAATAAATCGCATTCGGGAATGCGGTGCGCAATCAAGGCCTCCCAAAGGATGCACCGATGCTGGATTCGGCTGCCTTTGCGCACATTGCTTTGCCTGCATTCCGTGCGCGATCCTGCATATTGTATATCCCGATACGTGCGTCTGCATACATAAATAAACAGTTATGGGTGTGTATAGCGCGTAACTTCATTGGCGTCGCGACAAGTGACGCCAATGAGTCATAATGGAGGACCTTAATAATTTCAATCTACGACAGCACAGCGATCGCGATAATACCGCTCGTCATATGTTAGCTTCAACGTAGAGAGAGAAAGAGAATTTATCCCACCGATGACTGATAACAATTTGCCGCTTTAGGTCGAGAGCGACGGATTTTGCGGCTCGAATAAATTAATTGTAATTAATTGCGATCAAAGTATCTCCCCCAAGTGTGTCAAACAGTATTTTAATGTGGCATTGAGGCGAATCGGAGCGAATGTTTGACGCCGGCAACGTTGTAATTTGTCATTCGGATAAGAATCGGCTCTCGTGACGTTCGCAGAAACGTCGTGGGTGATAAAAA